CACCTCGGCGGTGAGGAAAGGGTTTTAGTGGGTAAACAGCTTAGCTGGAGTCCCACACAACCCAGAGCGACAGACCACCAGCTCTGGGAGTGCGTGAAAGAGCATTTCCCAAACCTCACCGAAAAAAAAAAAAAGTCGCAGGATCTTGCGGGCCAATTGACTCCAATCTGACAATCTCGAAATTACGCGTCCTGAAAATGTCTCTCGCAATATGGCTACAACTGCCAGTGTTGTGCACTGGCACCAGTGCACTCGTTGCCCCATCCTGCTGAAACTACATGTCTTCCAGATCATAATCTTCAATTTCTCAAGAATTGACTGTTATGGCTCTTTCTTGATCGTTAAAAAAATAGGGGCCAATACACCACCGGACCATAATGCACACCATACGGTCACTTTTTCAGGATGCAATGGCCTTTCTGCGATCACTTGAGGATTTTGAGAGCCCCATGCATGGCTGTTCTGTTTATCTACATAATTACCGAGCGAAAAATGAGCCTCATCGCTGAAGAAAATTCTGTTCGAAAAATCATCATCAGCGGCTTGTTCAGTCACCCAATTTGCGTATGTTCTGCGTTGTCCATGGTCTTGAGGCTTAAGTTATTGAGTCAGTGGGACTTTGTACGGATGGAGTTTCAAATCCAATTGCAAAATTCGCCACAATGAGCCGTAAGACAAGCCCAAATGCGCACGTCGGGGAATCGACGCATTCGGGTCTTCCTCCACACATTGAGCAACAGCGATATTTTCAGCCGAACGAATGTTGCGATGATGCACAGGCCTTACATCAGTCTCCAGATCCAGTCTCTTCAAATGTTTCCACTGTGTTCGAAATTGTTTGCTCTGTGGGTCGATTATGTCAACCGTAATCTGCTCGTAAAGCTCCAAACGTTGATACAGCAGCATCACCATTTTTATAGTAACATTTAATAATTTTCACGCGTTCTTCGACAGTTAAACGATCCATATTCCAAAATGGCAAATCTTCAACTAAAACGAAAACGCTTCGGATGACCTTTGATAGAAATCAAATAGCAAGGTTTTACTTTCCCAACCTCGAATTCGATAAGATGCATTTAGAATCGGATAAGATGCCGTTAGATGCATTTAACGATTTTGATAAGTAATATAAAGTAAAACTTCTATTGTTTCTATAGCCCAACATCAAAGGAAAGTCGTAAAGTACTGTCGACTATCCATGGTTTTTGAATAATTGTTTTCATTTAAGAAAAAATACTTCTGTGACAATTTCTCAAAAAATAGCAGTTAGTAAATGAACTAACGAGTTTTGCAAGGAGAGTAAACGTTTATAACATTTAATAGTGTAAACCGTCATATAATCTAAAACCAAATAAGACGCCAATATTTCAAATTTATATTTTAATAAAAGTATTAAATAAAGGAACACGAAAATGTAAAACTAATCTTATTTTAACATTAAAAAAAGGGCAATTTAAAAGTTTCTGTTATTCCAAAAACATTTAAATTACTCGTTACAAATTACGGTCAGTCTTTTAAACATTTCACAATACATCTAAATTGTAATTTCTCATAACTTTCAAAAGATTAATTTTATATTTTCAAGGCAGTTATTCAAAAGCTGATGAAAAACCACGTTAGAGATAAATAATCTAACCCGATTTTTCGTTCTTAGAATTTCCGACCAAAAGGTAGCCGGCAGAGGTAACTTCAGGCGCAGGCTTTTGCCAAAGCAATTTTAATGTCTCTATGGGAAGAACTTTGTAGTTTTCTGCGGAAACATCCTCTGGGACTGTTGTTATGGCTTGCGTTTCTACCGGCATTGACAATGGGTTGCCGGCAATAACGTAAGAGCCTGTATTTGCATTTGGATCTTCTTCAGGATAACAAGGTAGATATCCTGTGCTTGGAACCTTGGTGCTAGTATCACAGTTCCAATTCTGAGATAGTTCTCTCCTGTCCCGTTGAATCTCAGCCATGGAGTATTCAACGTTTGCAGCCGCATCTAAGGCAGAAGGCAATTTCACCTCGCATAGACGCTGTCCAATGGCCTTTTGGACAGATCTAGAAAAATATATATAATTAGATGCGTTTCAGCAAGCTTTAACCAATATTTTATTACATATGGCATTATATATTATACAATATCAGCTTTTAAAGATGCACTATTTTTTACCCAATTTACAACGGCTACCTTGCATCTGCACCGATATTTGTATTTTTAAATTGTGCAAATTGAAAATTTGAAACTTGTGTCCTGTGTTGGCAACTTAAGTGTTTCAACGATTTGGAATCCCCTTAAATCCCCCAACATTTTTAACCGAATATTTAGCCGCTGTATTACTGCACTACATTCAGATAACTTAAATTTACTCACGACACATTCCCATCTTACCTTCGAGTAGCGAAGATAGTAATTACAAATATTATTAGAATCGCAATTGCTATGAGGCTGAAAATCCAAGACATTGATACAGAACTTCGTATACATGGAAAATCGGCATTCTCGCTCCAAGGTCCCGGTAATGTTTGATTGTATCTGACATTTACTCCTCGCACCTTTACGTAAATAGTTTGAGTTTGATCCTTTTCGCATACTTCTCCAAGTGAAAAGGTTACATCTATAAAACATAGCAATAATCATGAAATTGCATACAACCTGTAAAAACTCCATTGCGGGTGAAAATGTGTAGACTAAATCGTATTTTACTATCAATAGTAATACAAATCTGTTATTACTCTGTGTGGTATAATTATGCTGCCGTCCGTCGTCATTCGCAACTTGTAATTCATAAAAATCCACTAGAGTTTCCAGTTCGTCTGGTTTTTCCCATTTTAAAATAGTCGTTAAATCATTCCAGTTTGCACTGGGCTTTGTAATTACACCAGGGACTAAAATCCAATAAAGCAAGTATATGAATCTTAATATATTCTCTTAATTAATGTTAAATTGGCAATACCTACAATTTATATCGGTGGAAGCATTAATTGTCGCATAAGGTGAGCAGGTCTTTGTACATGCTGAAACACCTAGTGTATATTCAGATCGTGGTAATAAGCCTATTATATCCTGGGAATACTTTTTCAAATCGTGTATATAAGTTACTGTTATTGGTGGAAGTGTTTGAGTTGGACTTCTAACATAAATGCGATATTCTCTTATATGACCATTGGTTTCATATGGAGGTTCCCAATGGAGTGTCAAAATTCTAGGCTCACGCCTCACAACTTGCACGTTGGTTGGTGCAGAAGGTGTGTCTTCGATGGTTGAATTAAACATTGAATCACCAAAGTCAAGTTCTGACCCTAATGAAATGGGCTTAACCCGAATTTGGTATCTAGAAGTGATAAAATTACAGAATCAGCAACTGAACATAAAGAACTTTCTCACCCAGTATAAGGTATCAAGTTTGTAATATTAAGTTCTGCATCTCCATCGAAAGTGTCATTGTCTACATCAAAAAATTTATAGTTTAAAGTGTTTGGCTGACATTCTTCCGACCCGGGCTGAAGAATTTGGCAATAGCTAACGTTAAATCCTTGTATATCGGTTAAAGTAATACATCCTGAATGTATCTGTATAACTATATAGCGAGACGAAACCGTTTTTAAGTAAGTCTGGCTGAGTTTACGTTTTCCACTTCCATATAAGATTGTACAGTCGGCCCACAGTAGCCCGCTACTGCTGTCGATCCCATTTACAGACATGGCAAACTGATAATTACTTTCATTGGCAAATACTGGCAATTGCAAAGTCTTATTCTTCATTCCTTTTTGCAAGATCAGCCAATTCAAGTTTCCCTTTGGTAAAAATAGAGACGTGAAAATATCTTAATTCTCATATTCAGATAATTAGTTACCTTGCAAGGATAGGGCCTTTCCATTAGTGCAGCGCACCAGAAGAGTGTGAAATGTGTCATTTTAGAATCGCCACTGTCGATCCACTGGATGTTGTATTTTCCATTTCCGTTATCTTTTTTGATCAATTTTCGGACTGGCTTGAGAGCTAAAAATTAGTCAATTGATGTTTAAAAATGATTGAAACTGTAGATAATCGTTGCTGTCTGTAGTAAAGATATAGGAATGTTAGGGAATATATGAAATAATTCTGCTCGTGAGCCCTTGACTAAATTTTACAATTCATAAACATAATTTCAAAATTTCTACGCAAATCTGTTTTGCATTTGGGAGCAGTTACTTTAAGAAGTTTTTTGGAGCATGTTTATAAGAACTTTTTTCATTATTTAAGTGTCAATCTAATCACCTCTCAGTATTAATATATCAGTCTGTATGAAGAGATACGGAATATGGGGTGACAGTTTCAAAGTATTGCTGTTAGATAATAGAAAATTTACTTACTATATCTTTCTGCAGGTACAAATACAACAGAATGGTCTAAAGATTTTCCTTCATTGTTTACAGACCAAATTTTAAATGTGAGGTTCCTATTAGGCAATTTGTCAAACACTGCGTACTTCTTTAAAAGTTGGACTGGCTTAATAGTAGGATCTTCAACTGCCTGAATGTTATAGGTAAAATTATCTCCATTTTCCTGATAGCTATGAATATTCTGCCAATATATGATCCTCTTTCCAACACCGTCCAAAATTTCAAAACCACCTAAAGTTGTATTTGGAGGACTGTCTGGTATTTTAGATAAAGTTCGAATAGTTATTGATGCATTTTGAGACCACATCCTATCATCCGTGGCGCTTTTTGGTCGCATCGAAATTCTTACGTCATATATACAGTGCGCGTAAGGAAGATTATCTAATAAGAAATTTCCTTTAGAATCATCAGCGTGAAAATGTTTAGATAACGTTTTGTTTGGCAAGTAGATGGTGTTCCACTCTTTACTTTGCTCATTGCACCAACACACGCGATAACGGAACCCCCCTGGAAAGTTTAGCATAAACGTTGGAAGTGACCATTTCAATTGTATAGAATGGGGAGATTCACTAATTGCGCCTAAATTTTTTGGTGGATTCGGACGTACTAAAATAAAAAAATTATATTTTAGATCTAATTCTGCATGATTATTTTAAAGAAATTATTATAATTCTCACCACTACTGTAATGATTTATTAAGTAAGTCCAGTTTCTCGAACCAAAGGTGTCATTGGCAAATAATACAAATTCCAAATGACTATGGGAATGGCGATATAATGGTGACGAAGTCAAGGACCAAGTACAGCTCATCATCGTTTTATTGCCAATTTTTGATTCCTTTAATTCATGGGGACATGGACTAAATGAGCTATAACAAAACTAACAAAGTAGGTTTCACCACCAACATAAATTATTAAGTTCATTCAGTTAGTTAAATCCTGGTGCTTCATTAGTTTTTACTAAAGATTATTTTTCTGAACATCCAGCTTTTTTTTTCTAATAAGCTTTCTTCATGTTTTTTGTTTATCTGTCACAAAATTTTGAAAGTCTTGTAACATAAAAAATAATTAAATTTGCAGCTTCTAAAGAATATTTATACGTAATCAGCGTTCAATTAAGTGAGTCCAAGAGACCCATTGCGCTTGAATGAATTACTGAAATATGTGGTCATGGTATCATAAAACTTCCGGCATCAAATCAAGTCAATCAATCAAGCAAAAGTGCGACTTCACAGGGCTCTCAAACAGCAACGCAGTGAAATTCAGCTTTTCCAGGAGCACAATATTAAATCGCAAAGACATTACTGATTCACTACGAAATGGACAAACTATTTTCCATTAGAGGTTTAAGCCAAGCCAATCACGACTTTTTTCAATAGCATGCGGGTTTTTTTTGTCCGAAGAAGTATAAATATCCTTTCAGTTTACATAAATCGAGAAACTAATTTTCTGGCAATATAATTACTATTATCGGCTAGGCATTTAGAAGGATAGGAAACAATTTCGAATTAACAACAGTAGATTGTAAATCAAGACATTAGAATTATAGATACATGCACCTGGTAGCTTAGTTTAAAGCAAGTAAAAGTAATCATATGCATTAAATAGTTAATTAGACTTCGGAATCAGTCCCTATATAGTATGTATGGTATGTATAGTATGTTTGTTACCACCAATGTACAATGTACGAAATCTCGGAATGTGCAAAATGCCGTACGCGCGATTCAATCTTAGTGTTAGATTTGTTTAATTTTTAATCTTCACATTGACTATTGACACAAGACCCTGGGTGAGCAACCTTTAGTTAATATATAATTATGTTTTTTAATATATAAATATTAAAATAATATATTTTTTTTTGACGGGCCGCATATAAAGTAACCTTCATTAATAATTTACAAAAGTTTATATTGTTGTTCATGTTTTGTATCATAATGCTTTTGTATGTTATATTCTTTTAATGTCGACACAGTCGACTGAAAATACTAAGCATACAGCTTTATCTTTGACGAAAGTGAAAAAATAATCAAATTTTCGCTTTTCTTGAAAATGCCTATGCTCATCCGCAACCTTCCGGTTTTATTGTTTGCTTTTCTGACATGCTATTATGGATTAAATAAGTACATGTGTACAAACAATAACATTTGAAAGTTTAAAAAATGTTTAATTTGTATTGCATGTTTGAACAAGTCGCCAACAAGTGAGTAACTCGCCAAAAATTGTTACAGTTTAGTATGTACTTCCATCTTATTATAATTAATGTTATGTAGCAAACAACTTTGTAAAATTTACCACGTTTCCAGTGTTGCTTTTTGATTTTTAACTAATATGTATGGAATTATTCAAACCGGATTAACCTGTGGTAGGGCCCGGGGCTACGATCCCTGCAGAGGCCCTTTTCTAAAAAAATATTTTTCAGTAGTTTGGTATTCGCGTTTACATATTATTTAGTTTAAAATGGAAACCAGTGCAATGAATAGGCGACATCTTTTCCAATGAAAAATCATAGACTAAATATGAAACAACGCACAAGATTTTCGAGAAACGTGCCGGAAATTGTAAATATAAATGAAAACAACAGCATAATTTTGTGTGTGTACAAACATTTTAAAAGTTCTGCGGTTATGGAGCTAATAAATTATGCTTCCATACTTTAATGTTGCTGATAAATTATAATATTAGTGTTAAATAATCTTATTACATTAAATTGTTTTGTATTTGGTAAAACAATATAGTATTTTCCCATTAAATAATTAAATTAATATATAATAAATAATTTAATTTCACTAAAAATATGTATTTTCTTCCGCTCGCCATTACCTTATACTTATTACCACTGAACTACAAAGTTTGGCATAATCACCGTTCGGCAGAAAGTAAACTGCAATTTTCCTGCATCAGATATTATGCACATTGTCTAGTCAATGTGAAGATTAAATATATGTGATATTCACATTGACTAACGCGTACGGCATTTTGCAGATTGCCTAAAATATGGTAGTCAATGTGCAGATTGCCCGAAGTAGCAGCGATTCTGCAAAAAGCCTGGCGAGTTGGTTAGTTCGTAGATTGTCTAGGCATTTTACACATTGCCGGCGACATATACATTAAACCATATACGATATCAAACTAATAATTTAACTGATTTCTCCACTTTTTTCATTGATTATTTCAAGATAATTTTAGGCCATGGGCCACGCAGTCATTTTTTCCTGAACCATATGGTTCTTCCTTTTATGATTACCATACCTTCTTCCTGACCTGGCAGGCGTGTAATCCAAGTGATAGTCAGTGCGAACATAATTTTCTGGAGCAATCCACGTGCAAGTAAAATTATTAAGATTTTGACCCATACAGTCAAAATCAGTCACGTCTTGTGGCTTAGCTGCAAAAAACATTGTTTAATATATGAACTAATGAACTAAATAAAAAAAACTTGGATGTTTTAACGTGTAGACAGAATTTAAAATAAATAAGTTTAGGCTGGAAATACTAAGTACAGTTACAATATTTACGTTATCGGAACAACCTGTGGGGGTCATGGGGTCATGAAGTTATTTTAATTAACGGAAAACGAAATATGCTTATATAAAGAATAAAAATCGTTCGGCATATATTACACTACTTCTGTGTTCACTAATTCAGTTATGAAGATTTCAAAATCAGCAGAACAAATTTGATAGTAATAAGCCTTTTAACTAATGAAAAATCATCCTGTAGCCTGTAGTGGTTTTTCTTAAAGTATAGGCTTTGGATGTGTCTTTTGCAAGTTACGGCCAGCTGATGGTGACAATAGGTCCGAACCCAATCTTACGAGTGCTTGCCAAGTGATACGCCATAGGAGTGATAAAGCCAAAAACTGTACTTTTTGTATTAGATTAAAAGCGATTGAAAGAAAATAGTCTTATATATAAAAAATAAAAGATTTACTTACTTCCTACAGCAATAACATTGTGACAAATATAAGTACCATTCAACAAACAGAAATAGTCTGCCTTCGGCGTTGTCGGATGGTTTTTAACATAAAGACGTATTGCAGTGGAGTTCAATATTTCGGACTGTACAAAACAAAAAGTATTTAAATACACTCAAGTCCAGATTAAGTGTACCATTTACAAACGTTGTATATTAACTGTTTACTTACTGGAAGACGGTCGGCACCCAAAACAAAGCTCAACAGACTACTTGCAGACGAGTTATATTTAGCTGCATATTTCTTATTTAGTACACATGTGATGTTTAGATCAGACCCCTTTTCCAGAATAATGTCGCCTTGCGGAAAGGTATCTAAATGATTACATATTAGATATAATAAAATATTGTGCTAGAATGTAATCGCCAATAAATTAATTGTTTTAACTTTTACAAAAATGAAATTATTACAATCTTCACGTATAGCAGTTTGCCATCTCAACAGCTTAGTATGTTATCTACTAAAACACCTGCTATAAAAATATGTAAAAATAAATTAAATATTTTAAATCATATTTAGGTTAGTAACCACTCTAAACCTATTATTTTCATATTTTTGAAACTTACATCCACCAGTGGGTATCAACTCCAAGCATTGGCGTGCTCTTGCTTGTGCCCCGCTCCACGATAAACTGATGAACGTGACCAATAAGAGACAGTGCATGAGCTGCAAGTTCGCCATGAATGTTTTTTAGCTTCTTTGCTGTGTGCCGAACTTCTGTCAAAAAGTCAGAGTTAAATTACTAAATCTCGAAACGTTATGACTTGAATAAAATGAAATATGTTGTAGTATTAGTATTTCACAAAGCATTCATATTCATAAAATATATGTGTCGTATTTTGCGTGCTGAGTTTTATGCTCCAATAATATAAATATAAATATTATAAAAAATTGAATTTAAGCCGATTTAACCGATTATTTTTGCAACCGTCTTATAAAACCGAAAAGAAAGAACAGAACCGATGCGACACCGTCGAGCCATCTATCCAATAACCATTTGTCAATTGAAAATGTTTAGTAGTGTTAATGATTGATTGAGCGAAACACATATTAGAGTACTAAACGGTTATTTTTCTGGAACAGGTTCCATCTTTGCAGTTTCACTTTGGTATGAGGTTCCACAAGTAGCATGTTACTTTTAAAATTTTTCATTAAAAATTCGCAATGATGATGATAGTAGAAATAGTGATGCTAAAGAATGATTTAGTTTAATAAAAAAAAATATATGTATTCCACAAACAAACCATGTGTCATAAGTAACTACTTAAAGGAAATAGAATATGTGCAAAATAAACTACCAAAAGATTTAGATATTTGATGAAAATATTTGTAGTAAATAATACGTAGCCCATATTAGCTTATACTCAAAAATATTAACTAAGTCCTAATTATATATACCTATAATGTATGAATTACGCTTACCAAATAACAATTATGTATATAGTTTCATGAGAGCAACACAACTACGATTATATGTGTTAAAACCCCCAGAGTAATATTTATGCAAGACTGATTAATAATGAATATCTACTTATAAACACTAAACATTATCATGACTATCAGAATAACAGATAAATGTACTGATTTCTTTTAAATGTGCTTATTCTTTTCAAAGAACAGTTACGTCAATCAAAATTACACTAACAAATCACATATAGCAGTTAATCATTATTGCTGCGAGACACTCATTTTGCTAACCTAAACAACCGATGTCCGATACAAGGAATATGGTCATTCGGAAATTCATATAGCTATATATATTTCTTTTTAAATATAGCAAATTAATGAATGGATGTTGGAACTTGATTCTAAGTATTGTTTCACTTTTCGGTATTTCTATTTCACACTCACGCGCCCCTGAACAATCTGGAATCAACTGGAAAACAATCATTTGTAGGATAGCAGAAAACAGATTTTTCAAAACCTGTTGTGTGGGATATTTCGCCTCAGAATTTGAGGTTTTTAAAAAAGCAGAATTTCAGCACGAAGCATTCGTTTTCGTTGTAAATACTAAACAAATTGTAAATTAGAATTTAAAACAAATTAATTATTTATTGAATTTCGAATGCCTTGTCGGATAACTGAAAGTGACTATCAAAACCAGGTTCATAGGCAATGCATTGGACGTTTGATCATAGGCATTAAAGTCGGTGTAAAAAGCACAAAATATATTGTTGACACGTAAGAAAAAGATTAAAATAATACTTGTATTTATTTACTGATGGCTTAAGCCTTAAGCCGAGCTTAAGGTCCTCGCGCTCGAAGAACTGCAAGAGTGTTCAATGAGCCATGAATAACAAGAGTGTTTAAGGAGGAAGGAATATTAGACAATCCATCTAGGAACTCGTTCACAATAGTGATGCAAAAAAGCAATACCAAGACTTTCATTTGGTTTGCAATACCAAGTCCAAGATCATGTCCTGCAAGACCAAGACTTGCAAAAAGTGTTTCAATATTGAACGGAATTAAATTTGTGTTTGTTTCTTAATCGTTAAAAGAAAATTGAACCATTTTACATTTTTTTTTAAATAAACAAAATGTGTTTTTCTCGAATTATAGATACAAAAAATATCATATGATTCGTTATTATATATTCGTGGCATTAGGCAATTACATCAGGTAAGACTATTAAAGATTACTGGGTAATTGTTAAAGTTTTGATATGAAGACGAATGCAATTATTATTCAGGCACTCCGCGATAAACAGAATTAACATTGCAATGTCATGAATTTTAATACGTATTAGCATGTGTTTAGGGAAATCGATTCTAATCGAACATAAAATATTAATAGCATTATACCAAATGGTTGTATGATTTTTTATTAAGGAATTCTTGGGATACCGCATTTTAATTTTTACTGAAAAATCACGTAGTAGTAGCAACATTTTTCCTTGAAATTTATAAAAAATTTCATACAAAAGTATTCCTAACGAATATTGTGGGCATAAAGTTAAGAATGTCTATTTCCAACAATTCGCAGTACAATAATAAAATATGTTATTAAATTTCTATAACAGGAAAATGGTTTATTTTTAATTAACAACCACGAAAATATGTTCTTATTTTAGGGCGATACACCGGTGATCCACGTGTAGGAAGTTTAAAGAAGATCCATAACCCTGTTGTACATTCACGTTTGTGTAAATTGTCAGCTATAAATTAATTTATAATCGTCTAAATTCTTCAAAGCTGTTAGGAGTTCTATTTTTGAATACTGTTTTATTATTCTTTCCGAAATAATGACACATTCAATAACAAATCTTAAATAGTAATAACTGTAATTCAGATGTTTACTAACCACATAGACTGGGTATAATTCCTGCAACCTGCAGCATTTATAATTATGGGCGTGTAGGGGGCATAATAATGATTTTTGTATGTCATCATTTTTTTACTGTATAAAAAAGGTAATTAATTAAATGATAATAAATATAAATAAATTCTACTGTATAATACCAGGACATATTGGCACAAACCAGAACCTGTTTCAGTATTTTTAGAAACATGTTTTAACCCAAAATCAAGAATACACCACCAAAAACTAATTTAATCCAAACCAATACTGGAATACAAAACCACAAAAACAAAAATTATTTTGATTTCCTAAAACGTTTTGAGAATGTAATTTCACTTTTATTTTTGGCTAAGTATGAAATATGAACTTTTCTATTGCTTCAGTGTAAGTCATTTGCGTGTTACGTATTGATTAAATGTAAGCAAATTAAATAGATCCGCCTGTCTGCGTAAAAAGGCAACATTGTTAGCAAATCGATAATTTAAAAGTTAATTATAAATTGAGTAAAATCTAACTACAAAGAAATAAGCTTAAAGACAAAAAGGCCATATTAATTAAGTATACGAATGGTAGATAGTGTCCTATCGATAGAATAAAACAGGTTTACACTTTACCAGAATTATGTACAGTACCTATTATAGTAAACGCGCAAATTTAACATATAATATTGACAATTATACAGTGCGTCGTGAAAGTTGCAGAACAGGAAAAATGCGGGTTTTCGGCTATTTAGCATTACAATTATTTTGCCATATATGTTTTCATATACCCGTCTGTAATCATTTACGAGAAATATAGATCTTTTTAGAGGGTTCCAGTTTACAATTGATAGCAATAATAAGATACTAATCGCTTAAGAGTAATTCAACAACAAGTTAATGGAAAAATGCTTAAAAATTAAAAAATTAATTAAAAATACGCCATATTTTGAGTAGGTACTTATTTTACCTGTTTCGTATATTAAGTAGGCAGTTATAGTATGCTAATATGGATGTTTATTATTATCACCCTGTAATACAAAATATTTTGTATACGATGTTAATATAGTATGAATCCTTTCTCCTGCCACATTTCAAAATTACGGAAAAGTGAATTTTCAACGTTAAAGTCCAATAACTAAAAAACTATCCAATTTTCGCTCATATTTTATCATCAACATATAGGGTGTTTCATTACGACGCTTTTTTCTGAACTGAAACTTTTATGACGCTCGTGTCAATTTTCAAATATGTGCGTTTTGTACTTTCCCGATATAACAATATCATTTTTTGAAACAAATAATACTGGTTAACCGTTAACTTAGTTTATCCTATCAAAAAATTGATAACAAACTTGAAGAAAAGAATTTTGTGGAAATTATTTTCAAATTTATCAGATGGCCGCTGGATGGCGTAATTGCAAACGGCATTTTAAAAAATTCCATTTTATACAGAAATTGTTCCGATACGTTAAACATCTAGTTAGCTTAGTCAAAAGATCATAAAAAACCATACTACTTTCTTTATGAACTTTTTTCCTAACTTGACGAATAAAGAGTGGGGGGAGAGTCAAACCGCTTAATGCAAAGAAACCTGTAACTCCGACACGGCTCTACCGATTTCAAAGTTTTTACTATTAATGGAAAGAGCAATAAAAACTCTACGATATGTGATATAAAAACTATTTTAATAATTTTCGAAAAATCCGCTGTTAAAAAAAATATTTGTTTTAATTTTGACTGCATCTAAAAATTTTGCTGTTTGGTTCAATTTTTCGTGTGCTTTCGAATGCGTGTAAATTAACTTGATGGCAGCATTTGAAATTTAAACATTTAGCATAAAAAATTAAAACAAAGAATGGTTTTTGAGCAGCGGATCATTCGAAAATTATTATATTGTTTTTATATCACATATCGTAGAGTTTTTATGGTTCTTTCAATTGATAGTAAAAACTTTGAAATCGGCAAAGCCGTGTCGGTGTTACGGGTTTCTTTGCATTCAGCGGTTTCACTCTCCCCCTACACTTTATTCGACAACTTAGGAAAAAAGTTTATAAGGAAAGTAGTACGGTTTTTATAATCTGTTGACTAAACTGACTAGATGTTTGACTTATCGGGACAATTTATGTATAAAATCGACTTTATAAAATACCGTTTGCAATTACGCCATCCAGCGGTCATCTGAGAAATTTGAAAATAACCAAGTTTGTTATTAAAGTTTGCTTGCGAACACTACAACAAATACTACCAAGATACAGCCGCTTACCATCCTTATTGCGACACCTGGTATAGTTGGGACACGCACATTTACGGAAAAACGTTCAGAAATACTTTCATAACGCAGGAGCGTTATTACACGCGTACCAACTAAAATAACCTTGTTAAAATTTAAACGTTTCACATTAAGGGCCAGTGTAAAGGAATCGAAAAGGCCGAACAATTG